TCTCACTCATCTCATCCTTCCCCCCCAGTAACTGTACCGCCGCTGAGTCACCATCGGCGCTGAGTCACTATGGTAATCAGAGCGCATGGCGTGGACTTAGTCGAGCCCGCATTGGTTACACATACCTTACCGCAGATGTTACTCACTGCACGGGCCCGTCCAAGTTCATGAACCCTTTTATGCGTCGAGGGGAATGTAATCTCTCCTTCCTTGCAGCTCCATCGATTCGAGTAGCGTCGTGTCGAAACTCGTCCCCGCCATCTATCAACGACACTATTCTCCATCCGCCCGTCTATTCCCCATTCCACCCGTCGCCACATCCACCTCGAGTAGTATGTAAACGCTCGCCGCGAGTGCGACTACAAATAGAGACTCAAATTGACCAGCCATAACACTTGCAGCTCAAGCCATTTCCCGAATCCCGCCTCAAGGCGTTCTGACTGGAAACCATCCAAGCCCCCTGAAGCTCACCTTAGGGTCTAGCAATTCGCGACTAGCACGCCTTTTCCTGCCGATTCTCGCCATTTCTCGCCGATTTGACTACAGCGATCGCGCGCAATTTCGACCAACGATCTTTTCCATCATCATTGAAATAATGTCGTCGTCGCATCGGACGTCATCGACCAGCGCCGCGACGCGGCTATCTCGCGCGAGCCCCAGCCGCGGCGACGGCGCGCCACTGCCGCTGAATTCCAACAGAACCCTCGAGATTCAGCTCAGCCCCGCTGCCGCTGGCCATGACGGCGCTTATTGCGGCGTCACCACGTGTACTTCGGATGTCACTGCCGCAGCCGCCGCTACGGACGTCGCCGTTACGAGCTGCCGCAGCCCCACGACCACTCTAGACTTTCCCGCCTCCCCTTCCGCGGAAGAGACCTCCGCCTCCCCTTTCGCCAACCCTTCCGCCTCTGCGTGGCCGCACGACTTCCCGATGTCTCCTCCTTTCGCCGACTGCATTCCGTGGCCGTCCGAATCCGTGCAATTCAACGCAATCGACGTGGCGCTTGAGGATTGTTTGAACGAAGCAGCGGCGTCAGTGGTTGAAACGGCGACACTAACAGGGCTGGGACGGAAACAGCGGCGGCGGCTGATGCGGCAGTGGTTCCACGATGCTCCTGATGGGCTCATTCCCTGAACTCATCCGAACCAACTGTTAAGTCAACCAAGTCAACGCTATTGAAAGCAGTTTATGATGGAGTGAATGCAGCCAATGCAGTGAGTGCTCGCGGTGAATGCAGCCAATGCAGTGAGTGCTCGCGGTAAATGCAGCAAATGCAGTGAGTGCTCGCGGTGTCTGCAGCCAATGTAGTGAGTGCTCGCGGCGAATGCAGTCAATGCGGCAACAGCTGTCTCGAAGTCAGCTCCCCACTACCGAGCCTGCAGCCTTGGATGAGCCTCCCGAATCAAACACCTGTGAACTTGCAATCCCAGCAGTAGAGAGGAATATGCAAGTGGGGGAGGAGGAGATGGGGGAGGTGTTGAGGTGGCGAGTGAAGGACATTCGGCAGCAGTGGCTTCTATTCAAGAGGGAGATAAGCAGGGGGCAGTACGGCATGATTCGGAGATGCGTGCACTGCAGCACCGGGGAGATCGCTGCCTGCAAGAGCATCTGGAAGGATGTCACGTGGGTACAGCGGAATAAATCGCAGGTGTTTTCAGGGGCGCATGGTGCTGAGTGTGATGTGTGAAGCGCTGGTATTACTCTCTTTATAATGCGCTGTGGTCAGATCCCCTACCCACGTAATCGACTCAACAGCAGCAGCAGCAGACTCTGCTGGAAAAGGAAGAAAGGACAGCAGAAAATGTGGCAGAAGCAGCAGCAGTGGGGAGGGGGGCGAAGCAGCCAATAACATGATGTTGCGGACGGTACTGGAGGCGGAGAGGGAGGGGTTCAGCTGCAGCCGGAGGTGGCAGGAGCTGTTGTCACTAGCCAAGCATCTCATCATTTGTGTGCTCTCTCTTCATCCCATGACCCGGATCAGTTTTAGTAGTTGGACTCACGTACTATCTCCTGATGCTTAGGTTCTGCTGTGAGAGAACACATGTATGTGCGGAATATTATTCCATGATAATTCAATCCTGATGTCACTAATCTAGCCATTCACCTCTTTTTCAACCACCTCCCCCTTTTTTAAGGCTCTCTTGGTAGTGCTTAGCTTGAAAAAAACATTGGGCTGGGAATCTGTTATCTAGCCGAAGGATTGATCTTGGTATGTCAATTGTTCTCCAGTCGATTTTTCCAAGGAGCATTATATTGCATGTCCACTACCATTCACTAGAAAACATATGAATTATGTTAATCTCTAGCAGCCTTGATCACAATTTTTTGTTGCACTTCCTTCCCTTGCGTTTATGTTCTCACATAAGTCTGCCATATCGAAGTTCTGCATGCTTGCAAGACGACTAGGCGCACTCTTCAGACATGTCACATCACACCAATCTGGACTGTTCTCTGTACAAATGAACTGTGCTCTACAATCGGTGCCCATTTCAAGAACACCAGGTAGGCGGGCGGCATATGCGTGAAACGAGTTCGAGACCATTCGCCACTTTCGCCCTTGTCGCCACGGGCAAAAATGTGTCTGTAATATGAAATTGCAACGTGAATCGAGTCAATGGCTTTAATTTAGTAACCAGGTTAACTTCTCTGATGACGGGCAACCGTTGTTGTTTATGAACTGTAGATGTTTTTCTTCCTCAGCTTGGTGACTGTACCCTGAAATCGGCACAATGGTCAGTTTAGTCACTCACGGGAAAAACGTTCGCGAGTGACTAAATTTCTAATTTTGCGGGGCAAATGTTTTGTGATAGGCTGAGCATCGACTGTACTGTAACGCTGTTTTCTGGAGTGGAGTTGGAGTGGTCATTGGTCAACCAAATACACCTACGACACGCTGGCTGGTTTGACAGGACTGGCTGTGGAGAACAGCATTCTCCCGCTCATTCCAAAATTTTCGGAAAGGCTTGGTTCCTCAATCTGGCCAATTGGTGGCAGGCACATCAGCATTTTTTGCATAATCTGCCACGCTCGCTTGTTCGCGTCGCGATATCATGTCCCTACTACCCCCCCAAGCCAACCCAACCAGGCCAACTTCACGCGCCCTCTTGGAGCACACGGCGGATCTTCGTACAAACCAAACCAAACCTGATTAAAATACACCAAAACGAACCAAACCTAGTCAAACCAGCCTTCTTCGCCCTGCCCTTCCCCACAAGAAAACAGCTCGACTTTCGATCCAACCACACACAACCTGCTCAACAAAACAAGCCCTGCTGTGTGCTGCGCAGAGCAGTGCGGACCAGGGCTAATTTTTGGTTTTAAGCAACCCTTATCATCAGTCCTGCACCTTTTCAAAACCCTGATTATCAGTGTGACCCCTTGGGAAAATTCTTTTCCATCCGGGTTTTCCATAGTTTCACAAAATTTACCCTAATGTCACAGTGTAATATTTTTCATTACCCCGGTGAGGTGTTTCTACTGAAGTTATAAATAAAAGTAAGGGCTGCAAGATTTGATTTCGAGTCATCATCCTTCCGAAGTCCAATCTACCGACCAGGAGTATCCTAATAGCTCAAATAACTACGTCTGAAGTCATTCTACCAAGACAGAACTTCAAAGGTCAATTAAGGGGGAGGGGGTTAGGGGGGAGCGGGTGGGGGGGTAGGGGGGGTGGGGAGGGGGGGGGGGGGGGGCATGTACTCGCTTCAGGGTAAAACTCGTTATGAAATCGGTAGCCCTAAGTCATCAGTGTGCCTTAAATGTGAACCCTGGGATATCAGGAAAATTCTAGCTCCCGAAAAAAAAACCCTAGGCCATCAGTGTGACTACCGAAAACCACTCTGATAATCAGGGTATCATGGTGATTTACACTGATAAAATTTGCACTGGTGCGGACACCCCCATCCAGCAAATAATTTGTTAGCTCAGCGCTCATTTGCTCTCCTTTCGAGCAAGCAAGCAAGCAGCATTGCAGACTGTACCGGCGCACTGCCCAAAGGGTGCTCGAGAGAAGATAGTTCCTCAGGGTTGCACTTTCAGAACCGTCCGAAAAAAAGTCACGGACTGACACAACGGTACAAAAGTGGTTACCATAAACAGAGCACGTGGAACGGCTAGGCACGTGTTTGCTTGTAGCTTTCTCAGCAAATGCCATTCCGAGCACGTGGATAAATGAATCTTAGAAATGCAGAAGAGGTTGCAATCAGAAAAGAGAGCTTTCCTTCTCTTCCCCTCATCCGCGTTGGCCCTTGCGAAGCATAGTCAGCATTTCTCACACGCGCATGCACACCCAGTAGCACTTTCGCCGAAAGCAGCGTGCACGCTTCGCGACACGTACACTTCTAGAGGACGTGTAGTCAGGCGTGACTCGAGTTGCTGTCAGGATGACTCCTCAAAGTCGGGGTGACGTGTCGTCCCTTGGTCTCAGGCCGAGACAAGAGCGTGGGGGGTGCCAAACTCGTGTCACACTCGCCGCTGACCTACTCCGCCAATCAATTCTCCGGGTTGAACGCTCGCCGCGAGCGCAGACTCCCCCTTCCAAAGTCCTCTTGATCCACCTACCGCCTCCGCTTTCGACTATGAAAACGCTTGCCGCGAGTGCAGATTCCAGAACGCCATACATACAGAGTGGTTACGAATTCATCCCCATACATGATAGCAGTCGCAGCTCAAGCCATTCCCGAATCCCGTTTCAAGGATTTTGACTGAAAACCATCTCCCCTGTGAAGCTTAGCAGGCAGCCACTCCCGTTCCGGCTAGTATTACCAGCGAACGCGCCCTTTTGCAAACTACTGAAATGGCGCCCACAACTGGAAACATGTCGTCACATCGCACGTCGTCGACCAGCGCCGCGACGCGGCGAGCTCGCGCAAACCCTAGTCCCGCCGCCGGCGCGCCGCCGCTGCATTCAAGAAGGACGTTTCAGATTCAGCTCTACGCTGCCGCCGGCTGTGACGGCGCTTACTGCGGCGTCACCACCGCCACGGATGTCGCCATGATTATGAGCTGCGGTTCCGCGACCACTCTTGACTTCCCGGCCTTCCCTTCCGCATTCCCTTCTGCAGAATTCACTCTTGAGTTTCCCGCCTTCTCTTCCGCGTTCCATTGTCCTTTCCCTTCCTCCTTCCCTTCCGCGGAAGGGGTTGGTGCCATCCCTTGCGAGTACCCTTCCGTCTCCGCGTCTCCTTTCGCTGGAGGTGACCCCAGCGAAACCCAACTGTCTGTTGCCGCGCAAGTCAGCGCAAACGGCGGAGATCCGTTTCCCAGCGAGTTTATCAGCCGTTTCCCAGCAGTTGGTGACGGCGGAGCCGCCAGTGGTACCACGACAGCCAACGTGGCGCTTGAGGATTGGTGCAACGAGGTAGCGGCATCAATGGTTCAAACGGCGGCTCCAAGGGTGCTGGGCCGGAAGCAGCGGCAGCGGCTGATGAGGCAGTGGTTCGGCGATGCTCCTGATGAGCTCGTTTCGCCCGCATTCCCTGAAGTCAACCGGACAAGCCAAGTCAACCAAGTCAACGCATTCGACGCATTACATGCTGTCAATGACCTTGACGTACTGAGCACAGTCAACGCAGTCAATGCAGTCAACGCCGTGACTGTCGCAACAGCTGTCAGAGACTATTCTGAATCAGCACCTGCTGACGCCAGCCTCGGATTCTGAGCCTCGGAGGCACGCTGCCTTGGGGTCAGCACCACCGGAATGCACGCTGCCTGCAGGAGCATCTGGAAGGCCGCCATGCAGGTAGGGCCGTCCCTGCCATGGGGCCCCCGGCCTGCTCTCCCACCCTGCTCTCCCACCCTGCTCTCCCACCCTGCTCTCCCCACCTTGCTCTTCCCACCCTGATCTCCCACCCTGCTCTCCCACCCTGCTCTCCCCACCCTGATCTCCCACCCTGATCTCTCACCCTGATCTCCCCACCCTGCTCTCCCCACCCTGATCTCCCACCTTGCTCTCTCACCTTGCTCTCCCCACCCTGATCTCCCACCCTGATCTCTCACCCTGGTCTCCCACCCTGATCTCCCACCCTGCTCTCCCCACCCTGATCTCCCACCCTGCTCTCCCACCCTGCTCTCCCCACCCTGATCTCCCACCCTGATTCTCTCTGCCTCATCCTCACCTTCAGCATCTGTGCTTTCCTTCCCTTTCCGCCCAGCCTCGTGCCTCTTGCCTTTCCAACAGGGCAGAGTGCTGCTGACGTGGCAGTCACAGAGGAACTCAACGGCCACATCGACATCTTTCGGATAAAGAAGGAAACACAGGGTAAGTTACCCTTGTCCGTTCCCTTCTACCCCATTGTGAATGTATGAATAATGACTCATGAACTGATGCTCAAGCCTGTGTGCCAGCGTGCATGAGACTTGCATTATGCAACTAAATCTGATCCTTCATACTTGGCCCACTAATTCAAGCCTTCCGTTGCCATTACTGAATAGCTTCCACTACACTCCCCCATTACCACTGCTCTTCTGTTAATTCCTGTCGACGTTGCTGGCACACTCCCAGCACGCCCATCCTTCCTTCGCTTTCTCATCCATTGCGTCTCTCCATCTCCCCCTCCCCCTTTACGACTGCTCCCTTCCCCCCCCCCCCCCCCCCCCCCCCCCCCCCAGCACGTGCATGTAGTGATGGGGCTCAGCTTTCTTCCCTCTTGCTTCTTCCCACCCCACCCCTCTCCCCTCCTCCCCTCTTCCCCCCCCCTCCTCCAGCACGTGCACGTGGCAATGGAGCTCTGTGAGGGGGGAGACCTGTTTGACCGCGTTGCCTCGCACGGAAGGCTCTCCGAACCTTCTGCAGCGCGCATCTTCCGATCGCTCATGCTGGCCTTGCAGCACTGCCACTCGCACACCATCGTGCACCGCGACGTCAAACCCGAAATCATCCTTCTATCGAATCGCGCTATTAACAAGGATAATGTTAATGGCTGTGAGGTCAAGCTGACTTGGTGGCACGGCACGGAAATCGCGACACTGGCTGATGCAGCAGTGGTTCCAAGTTGCTCCTGAGCAGCTCGTTCCGCCCGCCCGCATTCAACCGAACAAGCCAAGTCAACCAAGTCAACCAGGTCAACCAAGTCAACCGAACAAGCCAAGTCAACCAGGTCAACGCACTCGAAGCAGTCCATCATGCTGTCAATGACTTTGACGCATCTAGCACAGTCAACACAGTCTACACAGTTGATGGATTCAACTCAGTCAATTCAGTGAATGTAGCCAGTGAAGCAGTGACTGTCGCAACAGCTGTCGGCGACTATTCTGAATCAGCACCTGCTGACGCCAGCCTCGGATTTTGAGCCTCGGAATCAGCTCCGGATTCGGATTCCAAGCCTGCAGCCTCGGTCGAGCCTCGGAATACAACCAACTGTGGGCTCGCATTCCCAGCAGCAGAAGCAAGGGAGGTGCAAGTGGGGGAGGTGCAAGCAGGGGAGGTGCAAGTGGGGGAGGTGCAAGCAGGGGAGGTGCAAGTGGGGGAGGTGCAAGCAGGGGAGGTGCAAGCAAGGGAGGCGCAAGTGGGGGAGGTGCAAGTGGGGGAGGTGCGCAACTTGCAAGTGGGGGGGGGGGGGGGGGGTGAAAGTGGGACAGGCGAAAGCGGGAGAGGTGAAAAAAACAAGGGAGGCACAAGCGGGGGAGGTGCAAGGGGGGATCACAAGCGGGGCAGGCAAAAGTGGGGGAGGTGAAAGTGGGGGAGGCGAAAGTGGGGGAGGCGAAAGTGGGGGAGGCGAAAGTGGGGGAGGCGAAAGTGGGGGAGACGAAAATGGGGGAGGTACGAGCGGGGGAGCTGATGATGCGGCCAGTGGAGGACTTTCGGTCGCGAGCGTGCTTGAGGGTGTTCCAGACTCCCAGGGGCCATGTTCAAGAAGTGTACCCTGGACCCAAAACTCTGAAGTGTTAAGGGGGGATTTATTGTTCATTCCGAACAGTACTTTCCAACTCACCCTTATCCTTATCTTCCTAGATTTCCTAGTGCCGCGTGGCACTCTACCTTTCTTGCTTCTACTTTCTAGTCCCACGAAGTACTTTCCGACATTCGACCTTCCATGCTATATCATCCTTGCTTGTATCCACCAATATCAATCAATTCTCATTCAACTCTTCTTCAATTACTTAGTAACTTCTTCGCCTATTCCGCCAATAGTTCTTTCGCCAAAGTCTTCCGCCGCGTTTCATCCTCGACTTAGACGACCCGCTAATTCTTTAGCGGACTTAGGCCGTCGGGCCTAACACTTGGTATCAGAGCCTTCGCGGGGAGCTGCCTTCGCGGGGAGCGACTTCCAACGAGCGACCGTCGACGACGAGACTACGACGTCATCGTCCCACGGTGCCGACTTGCAAATTTGGAGTCGTCGAGCGAACATGGACGAAACCATGCATGCTCTCCCCCACGACATGGGCAACACGCTTGCCTAACTCATGCGCCAACTTCAAGAGTTAACGTTGGAAAATCGTCAGGTACGAGCTGAAATGGAACAGCTTCGAGAATTGCTTCTAACCCCCATGGTCATGCCGCACCAACTCTTGCGCCCAACACGTCGACTGGCGCAGAAGCGCTGCTGGAACGTCGAAGCGCGCTCAAGCCGCAGAGACCCGAGTCGTTCGACCCAAGTCAACGCGACGCGAACGTGCGGACGTGGCTCTTCATGTTGAACAACTACTTCGCCGCGAGCGGGGTGCAAGAGGCGGACGCGCAGCAGCGGATCGTGTACGCTGTACGCTGCTGAGGGGCCCGGCCTTGGAGTGGTGGCACCAACTTACGCAGACTGCTGTTAGAAGGGCTCAGACGAACGGGCATCAACAAGGCGTGGGGAATGCAGCTGCAACTTCGAGCTTAGGTAGTCTAGCTTTGGGTGTTACCACGGTTCCGACCACATGGGAAGGATTTGAAGCGGCGCTGAAAACTTTGGTGAATGCCTCCGAAGCTGCTAGGAAGCGTCTGCGTCATTTCCGACAGATAAGCAACGTACAGGAGTACACACGACAGTTCTTGAGCATCTGTAACGAAATAGACGACATCACGGAAGCAAGGATGCGCGATAGCTACCTCGAAGGGTTGAAGTCGGACATAGCGGAGGTTATAGCGATTCACGGATTGTCCACCTTCGAGTCGGTAGTCGCAGTAGCAGAACGCGTCGACGCAGTACGAAGCCCACGGGGTCGTGACGATCGCGATAGGGGATACAAACCGATCAACGACGCTCAATCGAGGGACGGACCGTCGGCCATGGAGATTGGTGCAGTTAACAGTGACAGCTCACAGAAAACAGGATTTAGGGGGAGCTGTCACTACTGCAAAAAGTCGGGACACATGAATCGGGACTGCCCACAGCTTAAGGAGCGGCCGCAGGGAAACGGAAACCGCCAGTAGATAGCGGGTCGCTAGCTGGTGTGGAGGTTCCCATACCCGCCACGTCTACCAACGTAGAGGAGACGGCTTCGCAGTAGTGATCTACGGAAAAATTGATAGACACGGTTGATCGTCCAGTCGTGCTTCTAGGCAAGCTTCGCGGAGTACCAGTCAAGATTCTCGTAGATAGCGGAACCAGCCACTCGTTCGTGTCTTCATCGCTAGTTAGTCATCTCCATCTTCAAGCAGATTCAACAGTCAACTTCAAGGATGCTTGCATGGTAGATGGGACGCCGCTTCACATCGGACCGATCGTCCGCAAGTTGCGCGTAGTGCTAGGACCGATCACAGTTAGGCGTGATTTCGACTCTGCGACGCTGGACGGATACGATTTTATCTTCGGGAGAGATTGGCTACGCACGGTTAGTATTCAGTTCGATTGGGCTCAGGGAAGCTGCAACGTCAAGGTAGACGGGGAGTTCCGGGAGCTGCCACAGTGGAGTGATGGGACCATATCATCCATAGCTATCATTAATGTTGTTCGTGTGCAACAGTTAGTGAAGCGTGCGGCACGGATCTTCGCGGTTTTCCTTGAGGAGGTGGAAGCTGAGGAGGGGAAAGGAGGGAGCGCAGCAGTTGGCGATAAGACAACTCTTCCTGCTGATGTGAGTGCACTCTTAGCGGAGTTTAGAGACGTCTTCCTGAACGAGTTGCCCACGGGGTTACCTCCTAGCCGAGCAGTCGACCATAGGATAGAGTTAGAGCCAGGGAGCAGGCCAGTAGCGAAGCTACAGCGGAGGTTGATTCCAGCAGAGACAGAGGAGATGACGCAGCAGGTTAGGCACTTTCTCGCGCAGGGTTTCATTCGGCTATCTAGATCGCCTTGGGCAGCACCAATCCTTTTCGCACCCAAGAAAGACGGAGGGTTACGGATGTGCATAGATTACCGCGCACTGAACGCCGCCACCGTCAAGAATAGGTTTCCGGTGCCGAGAGTAGAGGATCTCCTAGATGCAGTGCAGGGCGCTAGAGTTTTCTCCAAGATCGACCTTCGTCCGGGTTACCACCAGATTCGCGTAGTTCCAGAGGACCAGCACAAGACGGCGTTTCGTACGAAGCAGGGGTTGTACGAGTTTAGAGTTCTACCAACGCCCCAGCGACGTTTCAGACGCTCATGAACACAGTCCTCTCGGAGTTCTTAGGTTCGTTGGTTGTAGTTGTCAGAACTCATAGCTTACTTGTTTCTGTAGGCTATAGTGGGGTATCCCATAGGGGGTACAACCCAATTAGGGTTTCCTATTTGTACTCACTTCATTCATAGTCATTCCACTCCTCGTTCGTACTTTCTCATGGAATCAGAGCAGGTCCCTTCCTAGGGCCTGTTCCTAGGGCCCACCGAAGCGCGCCCCGAGGCGCGCATTTTTTTTTAGCGACCCTCCGAGTCGCCCCTCCAGTCGTGCTCCCGCTTAGGCCCCTCGTCGGCCCCCGCTTAGGCCTCTCGTCGGCCCCGCTTAGGCCCCTCGTCGGCCCCTGCTTAGGCCCCTCGTCGGCCCCGCGTACCCCTCGTCGGCCCCGCGTAGGCCCCGCGTACCCCTCGTCGGCCCCGCGTACCCCTCGTCGGCCCCGCGTAGGCCCCGCGTACCCCTCGTCGGCCCCACGTAGGCCCCGCGTAGGCCCCGCGTACCCCTCGTCGGCCCCGCGTAGGCCCCGCGTACACCTCGTCGACCCCGCGTACACCTCGTCGACCCCGCGTACACCTCGTCGACCCCGCGTACACCTCGTCGACCCCGCGTAGGCCCCGCGTACACCTCGTCGACCCCGCGTAGGCCCCGCGTACACCTTGTCGACCCCGCGTACACCTCGTCGACCCCGCGTACACCTCGTCGACCCCGCGTAGGCCCCGCGTACACCTCGTCGACCCCGCGTAGGCCCCGCCCAGGCCCCGTCTCGGCCCCGTGTCGGGGCCGCGTAGGCTCCGTCGGCCCCGCTTAGGCCCCTATTCGGCCCCGCGCCGGCCCCACCTACGCCCTGTCGGCCCCGCGCTGGCCCCGCTTAGGCCCGCCACCGGCCCCTGCTACAGCCCGCCGCGTCGGCCCCGCCTACAGCCTCCCAGCCCGCCACCGGCCCTGCTACAGCCGCCACCGGCCCCTGCTACAGCCCGCCACCGGCCCTGCTACAGCCCACCGCCGGCCCTGCTACAGCCGCCACCGGCCCCTGCTACAGCCCGCCGCCGGCCCTGCTACAGCCCGCCGCCGGCCCTGCTACAGCCCGCCGCCGGCCCTGCTACAGCCCGCCACCGGCCCTGCTGCAGCCCGCCGTGCTGCACGTGAGCAGCCCCAGCAGCCCGCGCCGCCCGTGAGCCCCTACGCCACCCGAGCCGCGCGAGCCGCCCGAGCCGCCCGAGCCGCCCGAGCCGCCCGAGCCGCCCGAGCCGCCTGAGCCACGCGAGCCACCTGACGAGCCGTTCTACTGTCCCTGAGCTGTGTTCCTCTGCTGCTGACCTACCCGACTCCTCCAGCCCGGTGAGACTTTCAGCTGCTGCCATGGCCACCCCCAATGTTCTTACTTTTGACGCTGAGGGGAGGGCCATTGACTTTGCCGTCTGGATTGAAGACCTACAGCTGTACTTACTGTGTGATGCGATAGATGAGGTCTCTCTCTTTGACTTTGTCTCTGGAGCTGTCCCTGCCCCGCCTGCTGATGCTGACTCTGCCGTTCGCTCCAAGTGGGCGACCCGCGATGCTGCTGCACGTCTTGCTGTGCGTCGCCACCTCCCTTCCTCTGAGCGTGCCCACTTTAGTCAGTGCAAGACCGCTCAGGCCTTGTACGACGCTGTAGTTGCACGCTACTCCTCCCCTTCCTCCGCTACCCTTAGCCGCCTCATGCTACCGTTTCTCTTCCCTGACCTCGCTTCCTTTCCCACTGTCGCTGACCTCGTTACCCACCTCCGTGCTAGTGACGCTCGCTACCGCGCTGCCCTTCCTGCTGAGTTCCGCGCCGCAAACCCTCCTCCCATGTATATCACTCTCTACTTTCTCGTCACCCGTCTTCCCGAGTCCCTTCGTGTCGTTAGGGACCAGTTTCTCTCTGTCTGTCCCACCACCCTCACTGTCGACCTCCTTGAGGAGTCCCTGCTAGCGGCTGAGAAGAGTATAGTCGCTGTAGGGGCCTCTAGGGGTGACCCTCGCACCCCCATCTTTGAGGGGTGTTCTCCTTCCCCCCTGCTGCCCTCTGTCGCCTCTGCTGCTACGGCCGACCTCGCTGGTTTTGAGTCGGTCGGTGCGGCGTCTGCCCCCAGCGGCAGACGCCGCTCTGGCAAGGGCAAGGGGGGCAAGGGAGCGGGTGGATCTAGAGGAGGCAGTGGCGGAGGAGGTGGGGGTGGCGGGGGGAGTGGGGGTGGCGGTGGAGGTGGTGGCGGGAGTGGAGGTACTAGTGGCGGCGGTGGAGGCGGAGGTGGCGGCGGAGGTGGTAGCGGAGGAGGCGGTGGGAGCGGTGGGAGCGACGGTCCTGGTGGGGGAGGTGGCGGTGGAGACGGGGGTGGCGGTGGAGGC